TATCCTGGTATTAATTCCAGAGGAATGACCATAGAAATGCAACTTGTACCCACAGAATGAATTTGGAGTTCAATAGACAGTTATTATCTGATAGCACAGGGAATTATGTTCATGAAAATTTATTAGTGTCGTAAGAGGATATTCATATATTTAGGTTTTTGGAAACAGGGTTTCTCGGTGCAGCTCTGTGTAGTCCTGGAACTTACTGTGTAGACCAGGCTGGCTTTGAACTCAGAGGTCTGCCAGCCATGCCTGGCTATAAAAGGATTTTTAAAGATTATGCAAAATTCAAAGTATTAATATTTTGTGTGATTTATTCAAGAGCTCCTTTAACTTATAGTTCAATTACCTGCAGAGCATGGTGGTATACACCTTTAATCGAATACTCAGGAGGCAGAGGTTGGCAGATCTCTGTGAGTTAAAACCAGTTTGATACATGTAATGAGTTGTAGGATAGCCAGGGCTACATAGAGAGATCCTATTTCAAGCAAACAAATAAAAATAAAACAATTACCACTTTATTAACATCATATTCCGGGCTATAGTCATCTCAAGCTCCATTTGAGCTGGATCTTGGTTTCCAACATCACTCCCATGGCTCCCTCTACAGCCCAACCTGCAAAATGGCATTTGGCTTCCTTCAGGCCAAATGATAAAAGACGAGGAAGAATGAACGCCTAAATAGTGGCTACAGTTTCTTTGTAAGACAGTCCTCAGAATGGCCTTCATTACTTCGTTAGGAGTAAGTTATGAAGAGCCAGGCCTGGTGGTGCACACCTTTAATCCCAGCACTTGGGAAGGTCCCTGTAAGTTTGAGGCGGTATGTCTACAGACAGAAACATTTTCATGAAACTTTATTGAGATTATAGTGAATATTTAGTTTATATCGAAAAATTCATCTTAATAATTGTCAGGGGCAGCCCTGCTTATACGCTGAAGGCCTAAAATCAACCATAGGCCTGACACACATGCCTGCTAATACAAAGCCTTGGGTCTCTGTGGAAAAACACTGTAACAGATGGCTATAAGCTATTGTAAACAAGCAGCTTTGGTGGAAAATTGCCAGCATGAGTAGTCATAGACCTTGTAGATAGGTAGCCTTGGTGGATAGTACCAACTTAGATAAAGACAAGTGAATCATAGGCGGAGTCATAGTGATCTGTCCCCTGAACCTTCGTCCAGCTGACACTCTGTTCTGGAAGATATCTGTACTCCCCCTGAACACCTACACTCCTGCATCATCCTCTTCCCCACATCCTGCCTTTTTGTGTATATAACTCCTGTGTGAAAAAGTAAAACTTATGATTTGATCAGACTATAGACAAATCGTCATTCTTTGTGTCTGCCTGTTTCTGCCTCCCCCTCCCGGGCTCTTTTTCAGGTGACCTCTCTGGACCCCCATTTAATGCCCTGCTGACCAGGACAAATAGTATGTAATGTACTAACTCTGGGCAGGGAATGTTTACATTTATTTAGATTTTGTTTGACTCCTGAGTATATTTTCCCTCTCTTTTTTGAGACAGTTTTTCTGTGTAGTTCTTGCTGTCTTGGAATTCACTCTGTAGTGGCCTCAGAGTCTGAGATCTGCATGTTTCTGCCTCTGGACTGCTGGGATTAAAGGTATGTGCCACCACATTCACCACAGCTTGACTTTGTTCATTTTTGAAGATTTAAAAAAATATTTCAATTTTAGTGAGTGAATTTTTTCATTTTGAATTCCAATTATTCCTAAACATCATTGGCAACATACAACATAACTTTTGTCTCTTGTCAGTCCACATACTTTCCTGTGGTTTCCTTTTATTACAGTGGAGGTCCAAAATGGTTGGTTCTATTTTAAAATGAACTTTGAAAATTACTGTGTGCTGTAACCAGAATGCTCAATTTGACGATACACTGGTGATGCAAATGGTTCATAGGCTTTGGGAAACATGAAGCATTCAGCTTCCTGCAGTGCTCTTCACAGTCAGAAGAGAGCCCCAGATCTTAGTAGGCTCTGAGAACTTAGCATAACTGACTCCAGGACAGAGTTTTTCAGGCTGTAAAACTCAGCATGTAGAGAGCACCATCTGACAAAACTTTTAACAAAAACCTAATCCATCAAAGTCCATGGCTATGGGAAAATATCTAAATGCACTAACCTTGCCTTTTGGCTTCTGTAGTTCTGCTTCTGGCTAACTGTTCTTAACAGAAGTATGTCAATCCAGGACGTGGGTTTTGTGGGGTTTCACTAGGATCCTGAACACCAAGGGTAGTTGCAGGCAGGCTAATAAGACTTTTTATTGGCTTAAACCCATGTCTTCTCTGGTAGTCTTTTCTGGTGACTACCCTACAACAGGTATCACATCCATTTTCTATGGCTCCATGTCTACCAAAGAGATAGATATTTGGTCTGATTCTAGGACGAACACACTGGAGCGTCCTTCTCAGGTTCTATACTACTTTGGGACACTTGGGGTTCACATGAGAGAAAGGTGAAGGAATTTCACCTCGCGATTATTAGATAGGTACCTGTTCTGAACTATGAAGTCCACTATTTTAGGTAATTTAATAGTGGACCTGATGGGAAATGTCCCTTTGTACTTACCATAGGTTCCCAGAGGCTCATGGGTAATGTAGTCCCTACCGTACAAGGCCCTCCCACACATGGTCAGGTAAACAGCTCTGGCAGTTGGCTGGTAGGCATCTCTGTCCTTCACTCTCTTGGCAACTACCGCTTAGAAAGTCGCATCCTGGTTCTGTGCTGACGTCTTGGCTCGGGCTGCGAGTTTCGTGCAGGGTTTCTGGAGGCGGGTGGGAAAACAAAAAGAGGAGAGTAGTCTTGGAATCCTCGGAAGCGGGACCCGTGCCCTCTAGCTCGGTGGAAGTAGAAACACAGGTGGGTCTTGGCGAAGGGACTGAGACGCAGTTCCAGGGCGGACCGCAGCGGCTCAGGGGGAGGTGATTGTGGGATCCATCATTCCCAGTCGGAACGGTCGGCCAGGACAGAGCTTTCATGGTTTCTGTTTCCGAAGACTGCGCTAAGAGTGTCTGGATCTGTGATTCCAACTGTCCAAAGGGCCGTTGCAGAAGCTCTGCCAAGGAGGTGAGAGCCCAAGATGGCGACTTGGGGGGTGAGGGCGTTTCGTGTCTGTGGATTGTCAGGGCCGGGAGGCCTCCAGTGTGAGCTCACATTCCAATTCGTGCTAATGAAGAATCTTGTTACCTGCTTGGCATTCGTTTTGGGGGGGAGTTGGGGTGGAGAAAGACCATTAATCTGAGAGTGGACTACAGAACTAGGAATTTTCACTAGCATGACCCAGAAATGGGAAAATTCTAAGTTGATACCACAGTGCTGGAGCCTGAAGGGGGTGGGGGTACGGGAGGGTCTGTGACCCATACATCTGTAAGAAAGAGGGTGTTTATTATCCGACTGAATTGGCCTGAAATTCCTAGAGAAATTCTCACATAGTGACTGTACCCTTATGTGTATTGGCATTGCAGTCCTCAGTTTTCCTGTCTCTTTATGAAGTGTTTTTGAGTCTCCTATGAACTGTGTAGCCAGTTTGACAGTGACCAGCTTGGCACTTGAGCTTTGAGCTCTTAGGTTGTCATATGCTGGGTTCCCAACCTGAAAGGGTTGAGGGTGGGTGGGTAATGTCAAACGACCCCTTCACAGGGGTTAAATATCAGAAGTTTACATTGGGATTATAACATTAGCAAAATTAGTTATGAACAGCAATGAAAATAATTTTATGGTTGAGGGTCACCACAGCATGAAGGACTGTATTGAATAAAGGGTTGCAGCATTAGGAAGGTTGAGAACCACTGTCTTTGGTTTTGTTTAGTTTTTGAAGATATCTAGTTACCTGAGATAAGAAGTTATCTCAGAAGATTCTTCTTATTTTTATTTTTTTAAAGATTTATTTATTTCATGTGAGTATACTGTTGTTATCTTCAGACACACCAGAAGAGGGCATCAGATCCCCATTATAGATGGTTGTGAGCCACCATGTGGTTGCTGGGAATTGAACTCAGGACCTCTGGAAGAGCAGTCCATGCTCTTAACCGCTGAGCCATCCCTCCAGCCCATTTCAGAAGATTCTAGTATTGTTAAGGGAGCATTTTCTTGGGAACAAAGTAGGGAGGTTTCATGTTCTGAAGGAAGGCGAGCAACAGTAGGAATTCCATCCTACTAGTGTGGAGGAAGACCATTAAAAAGAGACCAGGAGCCCTGCGTCCCGCTAGGGAATTTACACCAGTCTAAGGTCCAAACCTTAGACTGCTACACTGAACTCCACAGAACCGCAGGGCCCTGAGATACAGGCCTCTTTGACTAAACCTGAACTGTGATTAACCAAGTCGGCCTACGTGTTCATGGCAGAGATTGCATTCTTGCAAGTTACCTACCGATATATCATCGTAGGCCAATCTTTCGGAACAGTACAGGGGCCAGTCTGGACTATCGGGTTCCTTTCCCATTACCTTAATGCTCACTCTATATTGGTGGCCAGCACAGGGAAGGTCTGCTGGGCTATGAATGAGTGCATTTGCCCTTTAGAGGAGAATACTTTATTGAATATATTGCAATAGAGCAACAAGCTGGAAAGCACTGGCGTACCACATGCCTCATAGGCTAATGAGCTGTGTGGGTGAGGTCAGAGACAGGGGATATACTTGTTTCGTTAGAGGGAGTTTCTTTTTTTTCTTATATTTTAATTTATTCTCATATATTGCATCCCAATGGTAGATTCCCCTCCCTCCTCTTCTCCCAAGCCTACCCATCCCCTTCCATTCCTCCTTCATTTCCCTTCAGAGGAGGACAGGCCTCCTCGAGATACCAACCAAACATGGCATATCAAGTTGCAATAAGTGCAGGCACCTCTCCTCATATTAAGGCTGGGCAAGGCAACCCAGTAAGAGGAAAAGTGTCCCTAAAGCAAGCAAAAGTGTCAGAGCCAGCCTTCACTCCCACTGTTGGGAGTTCCACAGGAAGACCAAGCTACACAGCCATAAAATAAATGCTGTGTGCCTAGGTCAGAGCCATGCAGGCTTCCTGATTGTAGGAGTAGTCTCTGTTTTCTGTGAGCCTCTATGAAGCCAGGTTAGTTGATGCTGTGGGTTTTCTTGTAGTGACCTTGACCCGTCTTACTCATCTACAATCCTTCCTCCCTGTCTTTTGCAGGATTCACTGAGCTTCACCTAATGTTTGGCTGTAGGTCTCTGTTTCTGTTTCCATGGAAACTTCATCTGCTATGAGCAGAATATTAGGAATCATCATTCCACTTACTCTCCCCCCACCCCCTTCCTTGTTTTTTGCCAGGCACATTTGGTTCTGGATAAGGTCTCTGGGCTGTCTGGCTTCTGGTTCCTGGCCCTCCAGGCGGTGTCAGGTATGGGCTTAGAGGGAGTTTCTTTGTGTGTATTTCTCTGGCATGTAGTACCTGCTGTGTGAGGATCAGTCCACATGAGTCAGTGTGCAGCTTAGGAGTTAAGCAAGGGCTAACTATGAATGTAATTTCTAGCTGTATAATGGCCATGCAAACAATCACAGTCGTGTGAAGATTTTCTAATGTCCTGCTCCACTGCAGGCAAGATCTGTCAGAGTGAAGGTGAAATTCTTGGCTTTGCATGGCCTAAGTAATTACTGATCCAATTGCTTAGAACAAAATTTGGGCAAAGCTTCTTCAGAAGCTGTCAACACATGGATGGTGGGAGCTTGATCTTTAGGAGGTTCTGGCTAGCTCTCTTCTACCAGCTATGCTGAAAAAAGATAGACAAGGTCCTGGGAAATATTTATTTTATCTGGAAGTTGTGATCCAGCTCACACCTGACCGAATCAGTGGTCAGTAAATTTACTTTTCCCTTCCTCTTCCCTCACTGTTTCCAGCACATGAGCTCCTTTTTAAATTAATTAATGGGTTAAAATTAGTTAATTAATTTTGTGTGTGAGCATATTGTCTGCATGGGTGTCTGTTTACCATGTGCTTACCTGATTCCTGAAGAGGTCAGAATAGGGCATTAGAACCCCTGGATCTGGAGCTATAGTCTGTTGTGAACTGCCATGTGGGTTCTGGTAATTGAACACCGGTCCTCTGGAAGAACAGCCATTGCTGTTAACTACTCAGTATCTCTGTAGCCTCATATGAGCTTTTTGAGAACATTATTAATAGAATTTTCATGTGGAAACAGATGATGGTTCCTCTGTTTTGGCAGTAGATTTGTGTGAGATGTATCTCAGCTTCATTAGAAAGATGAAAAAAATTGCTCCCAATGAATTGAGAGACTTGCCAAGGGTAACATGATATGTAGGTATCAGGGACATACTGACTACTGTTACTTTGTACCGTTAAGGAAAATCAATGTTTGTGTATTTTCTAATACTGACTTCTAGTTACCATGTAATGTCTTCAGGTTTGTGGGGGTTTTATGTTTTGTGTTGAAATCCAGCATCTGAGTGTGATCTGCAAATGTTTTCCCATAGATCAAGGTGTCCAAATTTCAAACACTTTCCAAACACCTTGTCCTGAGCATTCTACACGTATCAATACATTCTGTACATTGTATAACCCTAAAGGTATAAAACGAAAGTGTCTTATTTAATGTTAGCATTCTGTTAACCAAAATTCATAAGGTAGGGATGAAAATAATAGGAGTCTATCTCTGTTGTAAAATGAAGAAATTAGATTGCACCAAACTTGTGCTGTAAACTTGTATGTGCAAACCAGCTATTCTTCCTGTGGCTTTCAAACCGTGAGCATCTAGTTACAGAATATTTCTTATTGTATTTGTCATGCTTGGATACCATTTCCCATTCCCCAGTATGCTAAAATAATACAATTCTAAATCATTAAATGTATCAGCCTTGCCGGGCACTGGTGGTGCACACTTTTAATCCCAGGACTCAGGAGTCATGGACAGGTGGAACTCTTGAGTTACAGGACAGCATAGGCTACAGAGTGAGTTCCAGGGCAGTCAGGGCTATATAGAGAAACCTTGTCTCAAAACACAAAACCAAAACCAAACCAAACCAAACCAAACCAAAACCAAAACCAACCCAACCCCAACCCCAGCCCACCCAACCCAACCAAACCAAACCAAAAACAAAACGAAAGGTGCCAGCCTTTCTTGTACAAGAAGTCAACAAAAATAGTGCTTTAAAGATCAATTTTTGTTTTCCTACATTCCTGCAGGTCGGTATCTGGACTGGTCTCAGCTGGTAAATGACTGCATTGTCCTGCCTTCAGTAACAAATGAAATTGAAGTCATCAGTGCTTTGAGGCTGATAAGTTCTGGGTGTTCAGTTCCACACCCAGTGGTTCCTGCTGAGTCTTTTCAATCTCTAGTTCCATCAAGCAGTCACCAAGGTTCTTTACAACATAGCTGTGTCCAGTAGGTAAATGTCAGTCAAGAAATTCTTTTCAAATTCAGGTTATCTTCACATTTGCTGAGTTCCTCTTGGTCAAATGAATCAAGTGGCAAAACCCATCTTATTTATGGTAACTAAACAAGGGTGTGGATACATGGAGATACCCCTTTTGGAAACATTACTGTAATGGTGTCCTATATGAAATGTGCATTATTTAAATTTCCTGTATAAGCATGGGCAAAAAAATTGTTAAATCTGCATATTTCCCCTGAAAATGAACTGTATAAAAGAAGCAGTAGTGCAGAGGAAATGCTTATGGAGCCCTTTGGGTGGATTAATAGAATATTTCATTATTCTATTAATGGTGATTTTAGTGTTAATGGTGGGAAAACATGATGACTCTGGTTTTAATTAGTACCTTTAAAAGGGAATGTTAATTGTTACCCATTTGCTTATTAATTATAGATGTATGTGTTCATTAACTCAGCCATGAGTAATGACTGAATGTATTATTGGTTCATTGTCAATGGTGTCTTTGTTGCACTTTCTGTATATGAGTTTATTTTGTTTCTTTTTTTTAAAGTTTATTTATTTTTATGTGTATTGGTGTTTTGCCTGCATGTATGTCTATGTGAGGGTGCCAGAACTAGAGTTAGAGATAGTTGTGAGCTGCCTTATGTGTGCTGGGAATTGAACCTGGGTCCTCTGGAAGAGTAGCCAGTGCTCTTGATCATTGATCTATCTCTCCAGCCCCCAGTAACTGTTTTCTTATGTTTTTTTTTTTTCTTCTTCAGCTAATTGCACAGTGTTTTGAGTAAGAATCTAGGACCAAACCATGAATATCCTCTCACTCTCATGACTCTATATGATTCTCCTTCTCTCAAGTGTATTCCAGTATCCTCTGTGTTTCCAAGGGCAAAACCAAAACCAAGCAACTTACAAACATCATGAATGAATATGTGGTGAGTCATTTATTCCCCAGTTTATTATATATTGTTATTTTATTTGTATTCATAGTTTGACCATCCTTTAGACCTGCCCAAATTTATAGAGTATTAGACTTTAACTCCTATTGGTAGTAATTATAGCAACATTTAATACATCATAGTTTTCCTTAATTATAAATATTAATAATTTGCTACAAATTATTAATATTTCTCTCAGATTTAAAATGTCTTTGGCCACTGTCATTTCCACCATGAGGCTTTGCCCCTTACGGAATCGGATGGAATCATGATTAAGTTGGTTCTTAGTACGTAGTGAAGAAGCTGGCAAGTGCATACATGGTGGGCACTTATAGACGGCAAGGGTGCTGGGGTTGGGGGGCGCCCTGGGCATACTGCTTTGGGCATTTATTCCCATTAGGCACCATGCCAGTTCTTTGTTAAAAGTCTAGTCCAGGTCTGTGCTTTATGTATCATTATTCTGCTTTCTGGCTCTTGGAAGTCTCTTAGTTGATATTCTCTTTCTCTAGCAAATGCCTAAGTTTGCAATTGGTCATCTTCTTTTACTTATATCAGCCAAATACTCAGAGGCCTCGGTTACATTTAATCTTTGTGTTCCTGCATCTTGGAACTCCAGCCAAGGTCTCATGAGCGTTAAGTGTTCCTCTATCACTGAACTACACCCTGTGCTGTCCCCATTTCTTCCCTCCTCCTTCCTGTGTTTTCTTTTTTCTGATTGTGGCCTTTAGTACAAGAAACGATGCCTGCCGAAGTAAATTCTTTAAAAAGAACATATTTAGAGTTTACCAAAATCCATTACACAGAGGCCACCCATATTAGCTGCCTTGTTTCATGGAGTCTAACTAGGGCGATCCTACTTCCCTCAGTAAAGAGAACATCTTTTGGAGATTGTGTCCCTTTACTAAATACTGGGTTGAGTCCTTGCAGGCAAGCCATTATATTTCTAGCTCAGCAAACCCTACCTGTTTATTTTCCCTAATCAATACTTGAAATTTTAGCATCCTTTATGAATTTTTTTTTTTCCGAGACAGGGTTTCTCTTTATAGTTTGGGCTGTCCTTTAACTCACTCTGTAGACCAGGCTAGCCTTGAACTCAGAAATCTGCCTGCCTCTGCCTCCCAAGTGCTGGGATTAAAGGTGTGTGCCACCACTGCCCGGCAAATTTTAACTTCTGATTGTAGAAAGCAAACAGAGAGAAAGATTCAGAAAGGGCTAGAGACTATAATGCACAAGGATATGGTCCACTGATCTATTTCCTCTAACTGGTTGCAACTTCAGAAGTTTTCAGTACTTCTAAAAATAGTGACACCAGCTTAGAACCAAGCATCTAATTCTTGAATCTGTGGAGGATCTTTTATATTCAAACCATGGATCAAAACCATCCTGAAAATGTGACAAAACAGTATATGACCTCTGTTTCCATGTTAGGGATTCTTTGCTGGCTGGCTTTTCTGCTGTGATCTAGCAGCTGGAGTAGGTCCTTGAAACCAGAGCTGGGATGGTGTCCAAGAGCACATAAGGTTGGCTGACAGTGGGCAGCTGCAGGGGGTTCCATGTGCCTAGGAAAAAGGGTTCTTTCTTAGGGATTTTCCATGTGCTTGACCAAAGTTACTTAGGATGGTTGGATTTCCTACCTAACGCCTGGCTTCCTAATGAAGCTGCGTGACTTCTGGAAGCCTTGTCTGTGAGTTTCCCAGATGGTAGCTTTGCCATGTTTCACTGACCAAACCATTTGTCAAGGGCAAGGCTTAAGCCTAGTGTCCACCAGAGATGAAGGAATTGCCCAGGCGTTCTGGCCCATTCCTAGAAGTCACTGCTCAGTGTTTGTCTCCAGCTCATTTCAGTGTTCTTCACGAACACTTCCTTAGCTCAAAGGTTATTTCAAAGTGTAGTTTTTAATTTTTGAATATTAAGTTAATTCTTAACTCTTGTTTTGATATTGGTTTCTTAAAGACTTTATATTCAGAGAATATATCAAATTTTATTTTGGGGATTTGTATTGATGGTCAACATAATGGTCTGCTTTGATAATTATTCTGTTTCATCTTTAATAATAAAGATAAGATTTTTGATGTTAAGACCTGCCTTCTTCCTTACTTCATAACCTATGTCCCAATTCCTTTTGATATCTGCCTGGGAATGGCACTCAGGTCCAGAATAGTTCTGACCCTTAACTGCTGAGTTATGTGGGTTGTGAGAGTGTGTGAGTGTGTGTGAGAGTGTGTGTGTGTGTGTGTGTGTGAGTGTGTGTGTGTGAGTGTGTGTGTGTGTGAGTGTGTGTGTGTGAGTATGTATGTGTGAGAGTGTGTGTGTATGTACTCTGTATTTCTAACTTTTAAATTTGAATTTCATTGATTTATTCTTTGAATCTTATCTTTTTCTTATTCTATTGCAATATTCAATTTGTTTTTGTTTTTTTTTCTCTGCAAAGGTACAAAAAGCAACTTATTCTTCCTAGTATCATCCCATGGCATCAGCTTTCCTCTAGTAGCAGTTTATGCTGTGCTCTACAATTTTTTATCTTATTCATTTTTAAAAATTCAGTTCAAAATATTCCTTTTTAAATGTGTATGTGTGTATGTGTTCAAGCACACATTCCTATGTGAGTACAAATCAGCAGAGCATGTGGGTCCCAGGGATAGAACTTACTGTATCAAACTTGGTAGGAAGCACCTTCAACTGCTGAGACATTATGCCAGATATCCAGTTCAAAGTAGTCTAAAACTTTTACTTACAGAGTTCTTTTCAATCCATGCCTTATCTAGTAGTAAGTTGTTTAACCTTATTGGAGAGCTTCTACCTGTGGAATATGAATTTTACAGGTTTTATTTGTTTGTTGTGTGTTTTCCCCCTCTGTTATATCTGGAAACACCCCTGTGTCTTACTCTCTTTTATGTCTTCTGACTACACAGCCTTCTAGTTTTTCTAGGGGATGGCTGTTGAAATCCAGATCTGCTTAGCTCACTTACCTGTTCTGATGCGACTTCATTGTATTATACTAGGATTTTGGAATCAGTAGGTATTACAAATAACAAACAACAATCAGTTATTTATATGCAGTAAGGAAATATTGGAATGTCAGACTACATGCATTTAATTTGTAAGAAAAAAAAAAAAAGGCCTGGCAGTGGTGGTGCATGCCTTTAATCCCAGCACTTGGGAGGCAGAGGCAGGCGGATTTCTGAGTTGAAGGCCAGCCTGGTCTACAGAGTGAGTTCCAGGACAGCCAGGGCTACACAGAGAAACCCTGTCTCGAAAACAAAACAAAACAAAACCAAAAAAAAAAAAAAAAAAAAGAAACCCTGTCTCAAAAAACCAAAAAACAAAAACCTTAATTTGTAAGGAATACCAACAGACACATAAAATTTCCTGTTGAAATTAGTCTAGATATGTAAATACAGAATCATTCGCTACATAGTCAGTTCCTGCAATTTTAAAAATATTTATTGATTTAAAATATAGGATTACTCTGTCTTCATATACACCTACATGCTAGAAGACAGCCTTGGCTTCTTTTATAGATGGTTGGGAGCCACCATGTGGCTGCTGGGAGTTGAACTCAGAGCCTCGGGAAGGGCAGGCAGTGGTCTGGAGTGCTGAGCTATCTCTCCTGCTCCAGTTCTTTCAATTTTATAATACAGTGATAACAATACAGGTTCATTTACCTATATGTGATTTTTTTATACTCAGTTTCTTTTCTCTTTTATTGTTTTTAAGCTTAATACCTTACAGTTCAGAAGTTTAGGGCTTTTCAGTTCTACTGAAGCTCTGGGAATATGTTATTTTTGCCTTTCTGTGTATCTGCAGGCTCCTCAGGCCAGCACTTGTATCTATGGAAGCTAGCTCCATTCCATTGGCTTAGTCTAATAGGCTGCCTTTGCTGGTTCAGGGCTGAGCCACTGTTTGCCCTTTTGTGAGAGCCGAGCCTCTTAACTGCAGGTACTGCCTGGGATCCTATTGGCCCTAGCTCTGAAAAGTTTTACTGCCTGTGGGTGTCCCCAAGGTTCTGGTTCCCCTCCTTGATATCTGCTGCTCTCTCTTAAAAGGATTTATTCCTCGGCTAGGAAACTGCATCCAGCTCTGGGAAGTGCTTGATTTTCACCTTTTCACTTGGGGCTTTTGCAAATACATGAATCTATTGTCTAAACCTGGATTCTGTGCTTGACGTTAAATACCATTTATAACCATGGGCTTTTGTATTCTCACCCAGTTCCGGAAATAATGACACTGAGACTTAATTATTTAACAATTCCTAGGCCATAAGTTTGGGTATATTTCTTAATTAGCTCATAATTTAATTAACCCGTTTATTCTATTCTATGAGTGCCACATGGCTGGTTACTTCTTCTCAGTGTCATGTGTCTGCCTCCTAAGAGTTTGGGTCAAATCTCTTCCCTGCCTGACTATATCTTAGAGTTCCCTCTCCCTACTGGAACTCTCATCTCTTATTTTCTGCCTCAGCTCATTGGCCAATTGGCTTTTTATTGCTGAGTGATGCTTCCATACAGTACACAAAAGATTCTCTCTACAATGTATAGGACCATTACTGTGGTGTGTGGTTGTTTGTGTGGTTGAGGCAGGGGTTTGAAGGAAAGTTGCAGCCATGCCAGATTAAGCAAAGGTTATTCTTTCATAGACTTCTGAGAAGGAGAATCTTGTAGGAAGAAGGTTAGGTTAACATATGACTTATAATGCATAACTGAGGTAGGAGAATGGGGCATATATGACTTAATGACATGAGTCACTCTTTGTTTGTGCAAGAGCGCACAAGTTTGGTCCGAGTTCTTCCTCCCAGCCCCATGCTCCTAGAAATAAGAAAATACCTTGACCATATAGCTAGGGTCAACTGTGACTAGATCATAACTTAGATAATCCAATTATTTTAACCTACATTCTGCCACATGGCTGTTTACCTGTGCTTGGGTACCATGCATCCTTCTCACATCTTCCTGGGTAAATCTTATCATGCCTGGCTCTATCCTAGAATTCCTTCTGCC